TTTATCTCTGCCACTGTGCATGCTTTGATTAAAATGCCAAGGACTAGTTGTTTGAAACCTTCACCTGTATCGTTTTACGAAATCGAAAGTTGCATGCATTATTTCCTTTTCTATAGTTTAGCAACTTTAAACAAATCAATAAAAATAAATATACAGTATTTGATATAGTGCCCTATCTAGCTAACATAAGCCACTCTCAGTCTCTTAAAGTGCTTTACAGTACATAAATATACAATTAACATATACATTAATCAATAAATTTTTGAGGAATTCGCAGGAGCTGCCTTATCAGGCGCTCACTGCTAGTCCTATGCCATCTGGCTAATATCTCCCTATGTATGTATGCCTACATGTGTGCTGGAGATGTATTGTGTTCTGTTTGTAGTGGGACCGTACTTCCAACGGCATCTTTTATAGTGCCACCTCACTTGAATGCCACAGCACAGATACCACAACATCCACCCCAGACCATTTTATACTCCACCTGGGTTGTTGGAGTTGTGTGGGTAGGAGAAAACACTTTCTCTGATTACTCCATGTGTACGACGACTTCGGGGATCAAACCCGGCCGTCTGCTTGGTAGGCCGGAGTGTTAACCACTCCGCACATTCTTCATTCCAATACGTATACACTCTGTAAGATTAGGTTTGGTAAAGCTTGTATAAAGAAAATATACATATAATAATTTCCATATACAAAAAATAAAAATCACTTAAGAAGAATGATCATGTATTCATGTACTCCACTTTCGGTTTAAAAATCACCAAATTAGTAGCCAAATTAATTGATTTTAAAAGTAGACATACATATACTTTCCTAAATATAAATAAATAAATATACAACATTTGATATAGTGCCTTAAATTATCTAGCCAACATAAGCCACTCTAAAGCGCTTTATAGTACATTGATATACAATTTTATACAGTCAATACAATTAGCATATATACATTAATCAATACAATATTGAGGAATTTGCAGGAGCTGCCTTATCAGGCACTTACTACTAGTCCTATGCCGCCTGCCTAATATCTCCCTATGTGTGTATGCCTGTATGTCCTGGAGATGTATTGTGTCCTAGCCCTCATTTATATATTTATTGGACTGTGAAAGATAAAACGTGGTTGAAATGTTTTAAATTTTAGAAATATTAAACACTTTTCAATGAAGTTTAATCTAAAAATATTACAATAAAATATCCAAGTAAAATTAGCCTCAGTGATGCATTATTTTTAATTATTTACTTTGATTTGTTGTACATATGAAAGATTTTGTTAATAACACATGAACCAACACTGACTTGTTGCAAATAATTGTGAAATTAACATTTTGTTCTTGCTGATGTGAAATTTAAAGTACCAACATTTTGACTCCATTCCTTCCTCTTTGTGACATCATAATTCAATATTATTGAAAGTAGGTGATGCAGTAAAGTTGTCCTAGTTAAGTTGTGATGTCACAATTGAAACAATGGGAACATTCAGCCAATCACAGCTCGAGCTGCCACATGTAGGTCAGTAAAATGTATTACATTTATTCTATTTAACATGTTCATAACACAACAATCCTTACATTTTCACTGGTAAAAATTATTAGATATTATCAATTTGATTAATAAAATCTTTTATCTGTAACTGAGCGAAATTGGGTTATCTCAGTCGAGGGTTAAGATTATGTAACAAAATCCCAACCGAGGCGTAAGGTAATTGTTTTTTGTTCTGGCACCTTTTAGTTTGAAAAGAACTATTCAATTTTGCTCAAAACTACAAGTATCCCGCATTGGTCCTCAAATGATAATGACCTCTTCACTACTAAAGCTACATTTGAATGCTTCCGCGTAAAAATGTAGACCGTCCTTACATAGATTACAACAAATTTCACAGTGTAGATTATATTTTATCTACTACATCAAATATCTAACAACATCAAAACTATACATATAACGACAAAACAGAACATTTATAATGCAAATTGTCAATTTCAAGCAGGTAACGCGCAGATGAATACATTGTAGGGTCAAAATTCCGCGAAATGTCACGTGAAGGAACAAGACAGATCGGACGAGATTGAAAAATCTAGCATGGGGGATAACATGGGATATCTCTGTCTGAGGTGCGAGAAAAGCATATCTTCACTATTAAGTGAAAACAACACTATACTTATTTATCTTCAGATGTGAACACTATTAATATTGACCAATCAAGACAAGAGAAGTTTTTCATTCTCCCAAACTGGTTACAAGTGTAGAGAATTTACATATATACATATATATATAGAACAATTTACATATGCATCATGGTGTTAATCAGAAGGGTTCTTTTCTATTCACTGCATTCAAGGCCTCAGATTTTTCAAATCAGCTGCAGATATTTTGGTATATCTCTGCTACATACATGTATACCACAGAATTATCTAAGTCTAGATCTGTGCATATACCAAGTTATTTATATTTACTTAACTACATAATCAATGACATTTTGTTTGAGCAAACCTTACCTGAGAAAATAGAATTACATTGAAAAGCTGATTCATGACATCATTAGAATCTGCATGGTATCAAATAATGTATATAATGCTAGCCTACTAATAAATACCCAATAATTCTTTTGTTATAGTTATATTTTGATCAGTGCAATTAAATAAACATGTAATGCATAGGATATCTAATGGTTACCCATTGAATACCATTTATATTCATTCATATGACAGAATATACATATCAACTTATATACATACCTCGATATTTCTTTGGAATGTTTTCTTGAATATTGCCATTACAGAAGATAAATAAGCAATTTCCCCCCAAAATGAAAAAAGAGGTGGATTGTTCACATGCCTTGCCATATTCACTTGTATACAACAAGAGAAGAAGAAAAAACTGTATTCAATCCCTTCATGGCGAATGTACAGACAGACGAGGAAACACTCACTTCAGTTTAGCTCTGTTTTATACGCGAGACAGCTGTAGGATGACCCGTTAGCACAGATCTAAAAATAGATTTCTTTGAAACTTCCCCATTAAAGCAGAGACGTATGGTAGCTATGGTATTTTCGTCATATACCTAAATATATTACTCAACTCAAATAACAAAAGCAAGGACAAAGCAAGGACATGTGTATGTAATTGAATACGTATATTACGATAAGGTTTTATGTGTAATGTAGTGCTATAATGAAAGCTGACTAATATCACGTGTCGTGACAGGCCCATCGAAAAAAATACCCTTGATGCGTGTCAATGTCGATACTAGCGCATGCGAGGTAGGTTTGTCAAAACAATCTTCGAATATCTGGTAACAGATAACATTGGGTTAAAAATATGTGCACAAAAGAATTAAATTAGATTCATTTGCTATCTAAGTCAGTACGACGTAATTGCATGTAGGTTATTTTTGGGCCGATATGTCTATCACGACAATCACGTGACAGTACGGCCACAAATCAAAGGCCTGTCGCAATCGTAATCTGTTAACAAATGTATGAGCCCAAAACAAATTGAGACATGATTTAAATGAAAAGTCAACAGTATAACTATTGGGCAATATTAACCTAACCGTTGATGGACACGAACATTCGAGTTTCCTTGTTCGAACACATTCTATATTTAGAATATCTATCTTGCTAATATAAACTCTATATCGCCTTCTTCTGTACGACTTCTTGACGTTTAAATAGAAAACTGAATTTATTGCTATAGTGCATAATGCTCATTACATTTCAATGAAAACAATTACGTTTCAAAAGTTTAAAATTGGCGGTACAGTAGGGATTTAGTGTGCAAATTGTTTCAGAATTCAGCTAACGTTGGGAGCTATATTTAGTTAACGGTCGAGGTCATTAGCAGATATTCGTCAGTCGAGCAACTATATTTTTCAAACATTACAGGCATTCTATCAAATATTCGCTTCCAGAGTGCGATATCAACATACCAGGTATTTCTATTTAACATATAAACGTAATTCCGAAACATAAATAATCGGGGTTTACCAGGAATACAGAAATTTTCACAAACTTACCGATCACGTCATCAGCTGGAAATTTCCACTCGGTGAATAAATGGGTATTTCCATTCTATTTTTAAATCCACGTAGGCCTAATTTCTCCGTAACATCACTGTAATGAACTTGAACCTTTTATTTATAAATGAGACATTGTATTGATATTCTTAGTCACAAGCACTTAAGCTTAAGAAATGAAATGAAATAAGATATATGTATAACCCTAATTAAGATGACGCGAGTTAGCCCCCCTTCCAGGCGCGTAACAACCTATGTAGCAAAAAAGCCCGGGCTTACACATCATTTTTGACAAAATAAAAAAAATATAAACGCAACATAGACTATATGATATAACATATTAAAAAGCAATGACAGATGTTTTGTATCTGCTATAAAGACCGCCAACTAAAATGCTTCGTTGCAATCAAAGTCTCTAACAAATGTAGAACTGATCATGAGCGTAGCATATTCATTCGGCATGGTAATCGCGCCAGTGAAACTCTAGTCTTGCTAATTATCGGTGTACCCAAACACTAACTCTAGTTTTCCCCGTGAAATAAAGTGTTTCTAAGTTTTTTTACCGCTTTTATACATATAAAGGGAACAATATGGTTGGTAGCCTGGCTTCAATCATTTGACATGGTAACCGTGTCAGTGCAACTCTAGCTATGCAAATTATTGGTATACACATAGTACTCACTAGCCCCCCGCCCCCCGTGAAATAAACTGT